ACTTTTACCTACTAGCTTTGAGAAGAGATCTAGTCTAATTAATCCAGGTCACAGAATATTTTTACTATTTTTTGTGAATTTTTAAAAAATTCCTGATTGGTACAATTATAAAATCTTCCTTACTCTATACTTTTCTCAATAACAATTCTGGTTTTATGTAATATAATCTAAATTTTATATTACATACTCTAACCTATGCTGATATTCTTTCTTCCCAGTTGCTGCCAAATTAATCATCTACTGCTGCTGTGGTTCATGATTCTTTATATTGTGTACAAGTTTTTAAAGTGTCCAATAACTAGGAGGTGTCCCATAACTAGGTCAAATACGTTAGTAGAACTTGAGAGTAAGAAACAGAAAAAATATTGTATCTTGAATGCTACCAAGGTATTTGCACATCTGGGATCTGTTAAATAATTACTTGATAAGACAGAGAAGGCAAGAATTCAGGTTGTAGTACAAAAGACAAGAATTGTGGTAAAAAAGGTCAAAATAGAACATATAGGAATCAGCAACTGAGTAGGTAGCATTCAGAACTTCCAGCCAGATGCAATAAGCCCAAATGGAGTAGTGTATGTTCAAATGGGCACTGTAGAATAAATATTATTTTTGTTATGGTAGAGGTAGTAAGGTGACCGAAAACTACATAGGTGAGCTTAACTGGTAGCATTATTACCCAACCCCGCGCCATTAATGTTAAAGTGATCAGGCTGAGGTTGTTTTTATGATTTTAGGCGAACCCTCGAAGTGGATAGTCTTGCCAGCCACGTCCTTGGCAACAGTCTCTTTCTACAAGTCCACGGATGTAAGGGTATCAGCAGGGCGGTAACACAAGGCCTCAGCTCTGCTGCCCCCAGGGTAGGATACTTGTTTCAGAAAGTCAATAGGGGTATTCCAACTGTGAGCAACTATAAACAATAGACCTACAAGAACATATTCTGAACCTATTGGTTAACAAATCATGAAGCAAAAAGGTGTTCATGAGCGAAACTCAGAGAACGTTAGATACCGGGAGACTACTTATAATGAGAGAATTCAGATCATTGTACTTCATAATGATGCAGGCTGGGGCTGGACAAAAATTGGCCAGCACCTGCACATAGATCAACAAACCTGCCACAAGGTAAGTATTAATTCCATTTTAAAGAGTTTGAAGTTGAAAACCAACTAAAATCTAAAGATATACCAAAGAACGAAGGCAAATAGCACCCCATCAAATATGCTCCAGACTGGCAGCCCTCCAATCTTCAGTGATGCAGAGAAGCAGCAGCTAGAAGCTTTCAGTACATGCTACGTAAGGACACGCTGTCTAAGCTGGAACGAAAAATACTTGGAGATCGAATATGCCTACTGTCCTCAGATAGTGAAAACTGTTATGGAATTACTGGGGTACCACTGACATGTACCCCACCATAAATTTACAATTCATCCAGCAAATCGGCTGATTCAGGTTGCTTGGTGTCATGATCATCTTTGCTGGGGGTATGCGGATTGGCTTCATGTGTTGTGGATGGATGAGTACACATTCTCTACTGCGCAGTTTGGAATCGACCTTGGGTAACCTGACAGGCTTCAGAGGAATATCATACATGTTCTGTGGATGAAACTTTTGAGTCTGGTCAGGAATCCCGAATGATATGAGATAGTTTCTGCAGTACTCATAGGTCGCAGCTAGTCTTTATTCCCCCTAAAGCCAAGGTTGACTCTGCCCTATATGTTTCTACTATCATGTATCCTCATCTTGTGCCATTCTGGCATCAGTGCTATGAAACTTATGGGTGGATGGCAGTGGTAGAGGATGGGGCACCTGGACATAAAGGATATTCTAGGCAATACAGAGACCTCAATGGAATGGAATGTATCTAATGGCCTGCCCAATCGCCGGATTTAAATGCAATCGAAAACCTTTGGTTAGATATGGAGAACAAGCTTGGCGAAACATGGGGAAGGATTGGGGATATGGTAATCTTGGAGGTCGTCTTGAATACTGTTTGGCAAGCAATTCCAAATGAAAGGCTAGAGAGCCTTATTCGAAGCATACCTGGATGGCTTCAAGCTGTGATTGATGCTGACAGAGGGGCGACAAGGTATCGATTTTTGTATATAGTTTGTAGAAAAGATTATAAACACAATATCATGAGATATCACTCTCATACTTCTACTTTAGTTGAAGAAACATACCTAGACTACGTTTAGAAGTGCGCCCGGCTTTTTGCCGACACCAAAGCCTACTCACTATATATCACTCAAACTTCCTAATCTGGCTTTGTCTCCACATAATATGGGTGCAGTTTTGGGAAAATGATCACACTTTCCGGTTGCCACAAATCAGGTTGTATAATTCTCAGAATTTTGTAGCTGATAGAGAAGGCTCTGAGCTCTTTGAAATATATGTGGATTTAAATTTGGAGCAATATTAGACCTATCTTTCTCTTTTTCGCAAAGCAGGTTTGGTTGACATGCAAACTAAATTTGGTTCTAACTCAAAACAAAAAAATACACAAGTGTAGTCATTTTCTCAAAACAGCACCCATATGAACATCTCTATTCGGAAGTGCCCCCGACCTTTTGCTACCCCCTTGTAAAGTGGTAAAGGTATGGTGGTTGGCGCAAGCGGCTCGCATATCACTCGCTCAAGTACTCGAGTACCGGTATTTCCCCTCCAACACTACCACATCCCACTCTCCATAAACGTACCTCCATCCAGAACCACCAAGCCCAGAATACATCCTCAATACATTCCCCCCCTCGCCCGCCACGATACTAATGAAACTAGTCTCCCCCCATCCTTCCACTTTCCATCCAGCAGTTGAAGTTCCAGGATGCGATACCAGATTCAACTTACATTAGATAGAAAGAACCGGACAATAGCTAAGGTTTGAATACCCCGTCAAGGGTGAGGACAAAAGAGGCAAAAAAAATACTCACAATGCTTTCGATGCATACGCACCGCAACAAGCAAATGCCTCCCCTCTCTGAATCCTTGGGAACATGGATTTGGTGTAGGCGGTCCGTTGATGCTCTTTTTTGTTCCCCCTTCCCTTCCCCTTCCCTTCCCATCGAATGACTGCCCAATGAAATCCCGACATGTGTGGGCGACTGCAGACCAGATGGCACGGTGGGAGCAGGCGTTCGAAAGAGAAAAAAAGAGTCAGAATGAAGCAGGTACAGCACCGGCTGGGGATGAATGGATGATGGTGCTGTCAACTTTGGGCGGGGTGTCATTGCATATTAAGGGTCTGATGATTTATGGAAGATCTGGAGATGGGAAAGATGGAATGGGTTCGTACGGTATACCGGTAAAGGTTCTTTTCTTGGGAGCAGGGGGGAGAATGAACGGCGGGAGGGTAATTTACTGTACGATGCTGCGACTATTATTATTTTTTCTCCTGTTTTCTGTTTCCCCTCCTATCTCTCACTCCCCCTCTCACTTTCTTTTTTTTCTGTAGAAAGAGATGATCTGGCGGCGGGTGAGTATTTCCCTCTTCCTTTTCCCATTTTCTAATGAATTGGGACAGAAAGAAGGACGAATGGCAGCTGGATTATGGTGCGGTGAGTTAAAGCTTGAGGTGCGGATGAGGGCGCATTCCATGGGTTAGGGAAAGTGACAACCCTCGATTTCGGCACGCCCGTCTAAGCCTAACCTAACTACTTCCGGAAGTCATAAGGCGTTGGCAGAGATGCATAGCCAAAGCATGCTCATGGGGTTCTTGGTTGTGCTTCTTGCGTGCTAGAGGAAAGTTGACTGACTTGACAGAATAAGAAAACCAGACAATAATCGAGCACGTTGATGCCAGGATACCCGTAGGTGCGAAACGGGGAGAGTTAAAGTAGGTGTTGGGCTGCTATGGGAATTGAACTTGGGGAGCAGAGGGAACAAGTGGGTGGAGATGTTGTACGGTAAGTGTAAGTCACTTGTATTGACATACTTGTAATAATAATAATACTGCGGTGGGAGGGAGCGTGAACTTTTACTGCCGTACGTGACTTCAATGCGGGACACAGGATCCGGGGGAGACAAACGAGGCCCTCCTGCTGCTACTACACGAGTATTTCTTCTCTCTCACTTCTCCCTTTAGTTACCTTGCCTACTCTGCGAGTACATTTGCCTACGGTGTGCTGGCCCCCATCCACCCTCAACCGTAATTGCAGAATTGACGGTGGAAGTTTCCTTCTTTGCCCTCTTTTCTCTCCCCACTATCTCTCCTCTGTTCCTCCTTTATTCCTCTCCTCCCCTGCTCGCTCCACCATTCAGTTTGACTTTTCTTAATACCCCTTCGCTGCGTTGTTTGTCGTAAATATATCTGTCTTTACTCTCCTTACAACCTCGTGGCACAGCTCCTCTCGGCTACTGGTATTGTTTCTTGCTATCATAGTTCGCCCCAGACGTTGTGTGCCATCACAGCCCGTCTCCCTTTTCCATCACCAGCAACAACACCCCCGAAGAAACTCTTCTTCCACAACTGCCACGGTACTACCCTCCCATCCGCCATCGCTTCTACCAGGAGTGCTAACAGCACGAAGGAAAACGAGCGCTTGTCTACCTATCGTGGTGAGATTCTGCGGCCCACGAAGCTACGAGTCCGGAGCCCAACCGAGAGCCGTGGAAAGAGCTGGTTACTTTGTTTGCCTCAGACCAATCGACTAGAGAAGATCAGAGGACTGTCTGTGCAAAGGAGTGAATTGCTCTTGAGCCCTTGTTAACCTCGTAAGGCTGAGATTTCACCAGAACTCCGGTTTTTCCACGGTGGGTTTCTTGCACCCCCAATCACGCATTCCCCGCGCCCTCGATCGTGGTGTCACCGTTTTGCTTTGTTTTTTCCCCCCTCTGCTCTTCCCAAGGGTTTTTTCCCATTTCAGTTCATCGTCAATTCTATTCCTTACCCCCTACCATCTCTCCTCTTTCTAACCCTAACTATCCTCCCTCTCTCTCTCTTCACGCCTACCCCACACGTCTGTCGCTCAAGTTGGCCCCAACCGTCTATATTTACTTCAATTCTATTGCATGACTCGATATACAGGCCCACTTGGCTTTGTACCCTCTACTCGGTAGATATTTGGGCAACGTGTTTGTTGGTTGCTGGCGTTGGCTTTTCCTGTTCCCTGCATCTGTGCACCCCATGGAAGACATCAGAGCTGACCACTGGATTCCCGACTGTTAGTAACAGCATAACTCGTCCGGTACTACTCATCTTTCCTTCAGAATGCCTACGTTCAAGCATGTCACCTTAAACATACATACACCCCAGGAGCCCCCTGTTTCAACTGAAAACTTCTCGTGGGCCAATACTGCTCACGCCCCCTTGCCGGAGTACGGGAATCATCGCTTGCGTAACACGGACAAAATCACGAGTTACATCCCCTCTACAACTAACTCGCCCTTTGCCATCTCTATTACCATTTTAGATTCCTATCAGCCTAAGAATGGAGGTGACGAGCGGGAGAGTCTTGCTGCCTATGTTTACTTTGATGGGCGCCAAAAGGAGGAGACAGCCACACTTCTTCGCCGTGGTGTCGAGACCTGGATTAGTAGTAGATGGGTTGAGGTGAAAGAAGGGGAACTTGCAGAAAGGGAGTTCGTTTTTAAGGAAGTTGGCCTCGAGAGCTTTCTGAGCGGCCTCGACCTCTCCAAATCCGAGAGGGAGAGTAATGCAAAGAACGGAGCTCGGAAGGGAGTGAATAGGCGTCACAGCATGCCGGCCAAAATGAAAGCCAACACTGATGATGATGAGGAAGATGCTGATGTTGGGAAGAAGGAATCCGTTGGTCAAATTCGGGTGGACTTGTTCAGGGTTCGTTGTGAAGGCCCAGTTCGCAGGGGTGTTTGGGGTGGTATGTTTAAGGATTCTCGCGGCGATGAGGATGACGAGTTTGGAGGCGGGGTGGATGTGAGCCACACTGCTGGGTACGTTATATGAATCCCACCTACTTTAGTAGCGGGAACAGTAATCGGGTCGGCGAGAGGACTATGACGTTTCTTGAACTATTGGATTAATTACATGGAGAGCTTATGCGCAAAATTTATGGTCACAGGTTGTCGGATCCGAAGCCCCTCGATAGGGAGACGGTCTCGACCCAGAGCGTTAGCCACCTGGATCCCGAGGGTGTGGTTTACGCCAGTTTCGTCTTCCTTTATCGCGGAGAGCGTAATGTCCCATTTCTGCTTGGTTTGAACAGGTTACTAATTCAACCCTTACATATTGCAGGCCAGCTGAAGAAGATGGGACTGATCAAACCACCCGCACCTATCCGCGCTGATTCTCTCTCGGCAGTTGCTCCTAGTAACTTCAAGAAGCAGGATTTCGCAGCAATGACTTCTGTTCTTGAGTCTCTGATCGCCAATGGTTCCGAGAAGAATGGAGCTTCCAAGCGTTTTCACGATTTCCGCGACGGTAACAATGGGGCCGCTAATGAAGATGACGTGAAGCGCAAGAATGGCAAAAAGATTCCCGGCTTGGACGGAAGAGATGATGAGGTTGAGAGCCTTGTGGGAGATGAATTGGCTAGAGACGAGAGAGACAGCCTGCGTGAGAGGATGAGGAGCGAGGAGGACGTGCGCCTCGAGGAAGAGCTCATAGGTGGGGTAGATAGGATTAAGGTATGCTTTTTTTAAAAAATAAAAAAAACTCGAAATCTTGGGTAGGTTCTCATAAGCCTAGTTAAAACGTTCGCATTCTACCTCCTCACTCCGAGATTCTGGATCCAAGGATAAGGCGGCAACCCCACCCCCTAATTTTTCCTCGAATGGCAAAGCTAAAACCTTTGCGACTCCCGGCACGGATGCGATCAAGAAACCTGAGTCTGTCCACGCCAATGGCCATGAACCCGAAACTCCGTTGAAGAAGAGGCGTGGAAGTGGAGATGTCGATGTCAAGAGTCCTGCTAGAGGGCTCGGATTTGGCATGCAGACTACCCCAACCACAGGATTCGGGGGCAAAGCCGAATTCGGAGGGATACTGGGGGGGATGGAATTGGAGGAGGAAATTCTGTGAAGTCCGACAATTGGATGGCGGCACTAGCAGAACAATAGTGGCGCGTCTCGTCGATGCCGACGGCTAAACGATTCCTCTTGCTTTTTTTCCTCCCCAGTGCAACTGGATGGGCGATTACCACGTTTACCCGTCTTGTTTCCTTGCTTTTTTTTACTTTTTTTTTACCTGCAGGGGTCGTATTGGGAGAAGGTATTCTGTGTCGAGCCTGCTCGTTTGTTGCGTAGAGAAAGGACTTGACAATCACCGCAAGTTTTCTCGAGATGGAACTCAAGCGCGGATCACACAGTTACGCTGTTGGAATACTTTTTTATATTATTTCCTTGTTTTTTCTTCTAATTACCCTTTTTCCTTTTGTCTTTACCAGACTGACCTGAGGGTATGGCATGAGGGATTTATAGACTTTTTTCTAGCCTTTATAACCCCTCGACGCTTTTTTCCTTGTCTTCGCTGCACTGCACTTCACTTCACACCGTTCTTTTTTACACGTTTACGTACCCCTTTTGCTTTCCCTTGCAATGTACTCCGTATATCCTCTGTCAGGTGTAACTTTTGTTCAATAGCCCTTTTCCCCTCTATTCCCCCCCCACAGGGCCCAGCATGCGAAGAGGGAAGGGGCAACAAACAATAATCATCCCTGTGTTCTTTTCATATAAAGTCTTCCGTTTGTACACCCTTCATTCAAGCTTTCTCCTTCTTGGAGTATAAGCATGTTGCACACCAAGAGAGAACCCTGGAAGCTGCGGAGTTTCATCAGTTATATATTTTTGCTTTTATTTATTTATTTGTTTATCTATTTCTCATACCTACATTACTATGGGGGCTTGTTATGCTTTACTTTTTGCGTGTACGCATTATACACGCGCAGGAACTACAGGTGGCAGCGGTAGCTATCACTGAGCATGGATACGCATATTGTTAACCGCCAGCCAGTCGCCCAGTTCGTTACGTATGGTTCCGAACGTATAGTGTAATAAGCGCTGGCGGTTCTTCATGTTGGGTCCAACGTCTAGTAATTGTCAGAGTTTCTTCTTGTGGAGTATATTAGTGGAATTGAGCGACGGAATTGGTCTACTTAGGGCTGAGGGAGGGGGGTGGGTATTGGATGGCATATTTGACATCATAATTGACGCAGGCCCACTCTTCCACCCTTTTTTTCTGAGAATGAAGCCATACATCTCTTCCAGGTTTTGCCAAACAGTCACCGCGCCTACCAGTGTTATGTAGCCCTGGATGTGTTTTATCCCTAATCTATCATACCTGCCAATTAGTTAACTGTTAGTGACAACAGAGATCGTTTATTAACCAGACAGGGGCCAAGACATACCAAAAGTGACGGTTCCCGTGCCATCATTACGCAACCACTTATGGGTAGAAACAATATAGAAAAAAATCCATAAAGTAGTCTGCTACAATAGCGCACATAAAAAAGTGAGATTTTTTCCTTCTATTCTCCCAGAGTTGCGAGGTGCGGGGTGTTCATTCCCATAAGGTACCTGCCAAGACAACGGTTTTCGTATGGGAAAGGTACATTGCAACCGACCTTACCCGGTTCATGTGCCCACAGTCTCTATAAACAACAGAAAAGCCAAAATAAATCCATATTATACTTCGGACGTGTCGGATATCTTTAATTTTTTTCTCAAAGCTGGGTTTCAAGAAATCTGTGGAGTGGTCGTAGCCTGGAGCCTCCCGTTTTGGTATGTTTTGGCCTGTGTCTGGTTGCTGCTCGTAAGCGACCTCTAGTGGACAGCGGGTGAGTGAGTGATGACCTGTGACGTTCCAAACACCTACAATCCGTGATCATTCTCCGACAGCCTCATTGCGCGAGTCATATGCTTGCTTTCAATCATTGGTTGTCCCACCCTAGGTGGCGTCATCCTATACCAAGATATCCTTGCCGGGGCTATGTCACAGGGTTGTGTTTTCCGACCAGTCCTCGTGGGGAATGTGTGTTTTCCTGGACCTAAAGGAAGATCTATGCTGTACCGATCATGGAATGTCACCCAGAATCCAGAAGTCGATAATCCAAAGAACAAGGAAACAAAAAAAAGAAGGGTGACGATGCGCAGCTAGGGGTGGTGGGGGGAGTGGTTTGTGTGCGTGTTACGAAGAAGTGTGGGAGGGAACACGGGGTCTCGGGACGGGGTAGAGAAGCCCGGGGGGAAAAGGTTCTTGGGGGTATTGGAGGCTATTAAGGCTAGATTTTTGACCCCTGTTAGGTGTTGCGGTAAGCATAAGCTCTAGAATAGAGGGCGGTAGTCATGACATGGCTCTTGTTGTCATCAACCCTCTATTGTGTTATCTTATTTGTATTGTCCTATTGCTGAGAGTTACGGGTATAGCCCTGGGATTATGGTGATGCTCCCAGGCTCGATCTGCGAGATCTGACCGACTACGGGCAGCGATGGTAAGCGGGCTATAGGAGGTGAAGCACGCTTTTCTTGCTTGAGAACTTTGTAGGAACCGTCACCCGATGTTACATAGCTTTATTCAATAGCCACAACCAGCGAGGCTGCAAATATAATGGATCGATTGGAATAGATCATGCGTGAGGACACTTTGCGCCGAAGTAATATTGGAAAGTGCCCTGCGGAAGATATCAGTTGCCTGCGGTATTGAGTTTCGGCCGCCGAATCAGATTGGCCCTTTTTCTCCTTTGTTTCTTCCTCGTATTTCGAATATCCAGGGCAGCCCAGAGCGCTCGAGTGCGTCCCTTATCCTATCGGTTTCTTTTTTTGGGGGGGTGGGGAAATTGTGGACTTGGGAGCGGATAGGGTGAGCTGGTGGCGTGTAGAATGCACGGACGGGAGCGAAAGTGAGGGATTGTACGAGACGGCCGGGAGTGGAGTGAGTGGTTCACAATTCCTCACACAGGCGGTGGAGTTCATTTCCCCGCTATCAGGGTGTATCCCATGTTAAAATACCTTTACAGTAGTGAGTAGAATTGCTTTCGTTTGTGCGTCCTGGCTGGGTTTGGCCTTGGGGACGGAGTGCCCGTTCTCCGAGGCATTATCTTCTCCATCGCATACTTAGGTTAAACGAGAGCAAGGGGTCTGGCGGAGGAGTACAGATAACTAACACATGGCCCGCGGCTCGCGGGAAGAACTCCTATTTTTGGGGATAAGTCGAGTAGGTATTGCGTGTGAAGGTACTTGAGTAGATGTGCGCCGTGAGAGATCAGAAAATAGGCTAGTATTTCACCGTGCCGGTGGTAACTGTTACTTGTATAGGGTAGGTAACTACGGGAGGTTTTTGCAGTGCTGTTGAGGGTGGAGCGATCCCATATTCATGCTGAAGCCCTCTCCCTTTGAAGTAGGTCATTTGGGTCACTTAGGTTGCTGAAAGGGAAGGGTGACAAAGTAGGTCAATCCCTCGCCCGGGGGGGGGGGGGGAACTAGTAGGAACACCTGAATTGTGAAGTTAGATATAGCCTTCACCCAGGTTAGATTTTGGGCAGGTTTGTTGTGTTGGTTGTGGCTCAAGAATTGGGGTTCACTCCTCCTGACACACTTCCCATGGGGTGCAACTACTGTAACAGTTTTCCTAGCGGCGATGGTGACTATCGCAGGGATATGATTGGGGGCAGTTGTAGTGTAGGTGGTTGAGTGAGGAAGGGGTGTGGGTACGAACTCTACACGGATGGATACATTAAGTTATTTTAGCACTACTCATCTCATTTCTCCTTCCTGTACCTATACCTCCTGAGGTTAGCTTAAATCAGCTGTGGAAGTCATCAGATGTTGGTAACCCAAGTACACCGCCTAGTCTAAAGAGCATGGAACTTTCATACTCCACGCAAAACATATCAAACCCCATTGTGCCGGATTCACAATATTGCTGCGGAAGCCAAGGCATCTTAGAGAGGGATTATTGTTAATCTGTCCGTGTTAACTAGTAAGTCTTTCCCCAAAAGTTTCCCGCACATATGGCCCATAGTGAGAGAAGGCTGGTAACCCGAAACTACTTTTCAGAAATTTCTAGTTGACGGAAGGGCAAAGGATCGTATGGGTTACTATTGGCCAGGCCAATGGCTAGTGGTACTACTTCATGTCAGAACAGGGTTGATCGATACACAGTATCTGGCTTAGGAAATGGGCGAATCACAGCTGATGGCATTCGGCGCTGGCAGGAGACTCCTGCCAGGTGCTATCGAAGCAATAGTAGAAGCAACGATGGTGTTCTAGGGTGGGGGGACAGGCGGGGGGAGAGGACGGTCGGGAGCGTCATGTGAGTAAACATTTCGTGTGGTGCGCTGAGGATCAATGCTCGTAAGCGGTTAGTCTCCCCCTGAGTAGAGACTGACTGGGACGGCATGGACCCCTCCAGGAGCAGGCTTGCTCAGACCGCCCGCTATCATCCGGGATCTGGGGCTCCACTGACTGGTCCTCGCTCGAGAGCTGAAACCCGGCGGCTTCCGAGTGATTGGCTGTGCGATAGTTCTAATGTTTAGCAGTCCTCGGGCTATGTGTATGAACCGACATAGATTCGGCTCAACTATCATATAGGCCAATAGCCTCAGCACCTGCACGGCTATACTCGGGTGGCATGTTATCTTCACCATTCTTGCCTCTGGGCGCGGGGGTTAGCAGACCGCTGGGTGCAGAACTTAGTGCATATGCTGAGTGTATACTTGTGGTCTCGCCTCAAGAGTTGTGCGCAACCTGGTAGTCAGGGTCAGAAAGAAGGAACTGCTCGCGATGCGGAATCATCAGGGCGAAGAGCGCTTGGAGAGCAATGTGGTGGATCTCAGTCCATGGGGGTCTAAGGATTAGAGGTTCAAAATGACAGTGAAGCTGTAGGAGAAAATAATTCGATAGCTAAGCAACAAGTGTTGATGCGCGAGTAACTTACCGTATTTTTAGGCATACACCGAGTGACATGAGACTGCCTAGAATCTAGACAACTCTCTCAATGCTTTGAACCTACCGGAATGTTTGCGATTCCTCCTTATCTATCACAGGGCTAGACCAGTGAAAGATATCTTCCAATATTGCATCGTATTGGGGGATATTTGCCATTTGCCAATATCTACAGATATTGGCAGTTGAGGTTATTTGCATTCATCTGAGGGTACCCACCGATATCCTCAGATATCTCCTGCCCATTGACAAAGTATTTCCCAACTAGACAGCATATGCCCAAAGTGTGACGGCACCCACAATGCCTATAGGCTTTGTAAAAGTCAAACTAGAGAGCAGGGGGTCACTCTTACTTTGACGTGGCCTGGCCAGACAGTATGTTGGCAAGCTATCTGCAGGCCTTCCTAACCGGTTGTGGGCACTGCTAGGGTTGACTCGGGCCCTTTTGTGGATGTCTGTCCTCAGGGCATAGTGCTGGAAATTCACTGGTAACTGTTTACTCTTGCTTTAAAAGCAGGGGAAGCAGTAGTGATTAGCATTTCTTTTCGCACACACTCCGCGGCAAGCGCTACCAACGCGCTACCAACAATTGGGCCGGAGGATTGCCAGCCTGGGTAATCTGCGGAAGGACAAGTGCTGCCTTGTGACGTGCGAAGGATGTAGAATGCGCCCGGGTCACCCGGCCGGGGTTGCGTTTTCTTGGTGGGTTATGATTCCACAAAAAGGGAGGCAGCTCCAATCAAATGGCTTAGGTGCGGTGCTAGTATGTGATGAAGTTCCCTAATAGCTGTTACCTATGATGTAGCAGAGTGTAGCGTGTCGCGCCGGGCCACTTTTTCCGTGCGAGGGGGTGTATGTTTTAAGCTAACTGGTGTCTATCGTGTGAGCATTTTTAAACAGCACTCAGGCCCCATATTCAGATTTTCTTCGTTGAGCGAAGCCTCACTCGTAGACGGATAATTCCCTCACAAACTCAGACAACAAGGAACTGGGGATTAAACTTTCAGGTGCCGCTGAGATTACGGAATATTCAAGCATAGTAGGTGACTGCTTGGAGAGGTGACTAGGGAATCTTGTGAGTAGCGTGTAATATTCTCCGCTAGGAACATTTAAGATAAATTCTCGATGAGTTGGTACACCAACAATGCTTCTGCAAAATCAAGATAATGTAGGTTGTAGAGGTAACGGTGAACTGTGCTAGGGATATGAGATTGGCTGGCAATCCGATACCCAAACATGGTCGGGTTAACATGACAGCGCTAAAAAATTGAGATTTTGGCCAGTTCTGACCAAAATATGGAGTAGCAGTACCCTTCTTGTTTAGCAACTAGACGCTGGTAGGGCTGAGTTTGGGCAGACCACCCGAGAATATGTGATTGTTCGGACCGTTTAGCAACTAGAACCAGCCCTGAGCCTTCATTTGCAAAAGGCCGGAGGGGGACTTTATCGACTGTCGTGGTTGATAGATTTGTGAAGAAAGGTGTGACATAAGTGAAAATGCTTCATCCCGAACCTGCGTATTCTCCACACCAAGTCAGTACGGGCACAGGACTCACTTAGTTAAACCATGAGGGTGCTCGACTCACCCCCCCCCAAAAAAACAGATATTGCCGGCCGGCAGACCGGCCAACACAGCAACCATATGCACAAAACATCCACAAGCGGGGGATAGATAAAAAAAAGAGAGAGAGAGAGAAAAGCAGATTTCAGGTATCCGAAACGGGAAATTTAAGAGCTGCTGCTATGATCTTGAATAGTGTGTACTGTATAAAGGTTGTGGGGGGGCTCTCGGAGATGAAAATTTGATGGAGTAGAAGAGGTTTAATCCGATGATGTGGTTAGTATGGATCACCGGGACAGCGCATCAGCACACTGTAACGTGGGGATATTTTAATTGCACCTAATTCGTGATGGTTCCATGATGTGATGGGAAACCTTGCTTGAGCTCCCGATAGGTTAACGAGGTCTACCCAATGGGAAGGAATTGTCCTCCAAAAGTTGCACAGAAATTCATCAAATGGGTAATTGCGAATGTACTTGCATAGTTGTCTTTGTGTCCTGCGTTAATTGATTTGAAGCAATTCTCATCTGGGAGACACTGTAAAGGCCACAAAGTTCTTTGGATTTGCTCCCCACTTGTTCAAAGTTTAATTGCTTCGGGAAGGAGCCCCAGCTACCTCCTCGGGACTGGCTGGGTAAGCTGTCTGGCCCATTGCGTGGGGAATGATAGATTACTGCAACGGACAAGGCTCATAAATTTGCACTTCGTGTACTATACTATCGAAGCAGCTTAAAATGAGGGGTGGAGTGGTGGCGAGTTTGTTGTGGGAGTGCAATAGAGCCCTCTAATTGTTAGTAGTATAACTGCCCAAGACCATAGAGCGGAGAAGTACGGTGGGCTCAGTGACAATAAAAGTTTGAGGTGAATGGCATTCTTCGTTGGGTCGGGCTTTATGATTTCGCGAGAAGGCTGAGGAGAGGGTTTGCATTTAGAAGAATGACGATTGGATTTCACTGACAGGAGCCTTGCTTCATACCCCAAATCACATGCCGACCGGTGAGCATTGCGAGCTACCGGTATCCTGCTTCCTAAAGAACTCGGAAATAATGAAGGATACGTTTCCCTTGTGATCTCCTGCATCAGGAGTAGGCCCAAGATATTGGTGGTGGTTTCCTGAGGTAAATGATATGGCGCGAATACAGAGAGTGTACTGGGTGCATAGATAAGTATGTCGGAGGGATGGTGGTATATGTCCATTGTTAGGGAAGCCCTCTTTTGACTTAAAAAAGTTGCCATGATTCTTCCCCCAATGATGGCTGGAGATTGCATCTAGTGATTATCGGTAAAAAAAGAAAGAAAAAAAAGTCCTCATGTTTTAGCCATCCCTGCCTTCTCTGGCTACCCGCTTATCCCCTTGCCGGAGTCACGGCGTAGGTCTAAAGGGGATGCCCACAAAGCTGCCGTATTGACCCGATATCCCTCACCATGATAACTCCCTGGTTTCTAGGCATGTTGCCCCCCCGACAAACTAACACAGATTTCCATCCAGCAAGTTTCGCCCCGTAATAGTCCTTAGTTATATCATCTCCGAGATGTATACGAGTCCATGGGCCCTCAAGGTTCCTGCATTCTTTGGCCATTTTTTCCGCCTCGCGAAAGATTTGATGGTGAGGCTTTTCGACTCCCACGCTGTATGAAAGGACAACAAAGTCTATCTCTAGTTTTGGTTCAACTAGGAGCTTCTTACGGGGCCTCCCGGGCTTCCGTTTGGGAGGCGGGATTTCTTTAGGATTTACCCATAGCGCCTCTTCCCAACCAGTTTTTGATGTAAATGTTCTGACCCCAATTGAAAGAGAATTGAGAATCGGCACAACACGGCTGTCCGAATTGGTTATTACTCCAACCGTGACGGTATCGTAAGGCCAGAAAGAGGTTCGGCGGGATCGAAAAGCCTGAAGGAACTGGAGGCAGGGTGTTACGTCGCTGTAGAGTTCGTAGCCCTCAGAGGTGCTGAATCGCCGAATCAAATCCGGGATGATACCGGCTGTGAGGCCATCAGGTGCTAAAGGTTCCAGGGTTTTCCTGATTATCTGACACCAAGAGATATCTGTCAGCCTAGCGCTAGGCACGTGTGATGTAGACATCTATAGTTTGCTTAAGAATTGGTGCATTGCATAGCCCCAGCCCCCGAATCAGTCCAGTATCACAATACATGTATCACGGGGCCGGGGTAGAAGCCTTCCCGCCCCTGATTGAGGCGGACACGATAGCCAAAAGGCTATGCGGGGTGAATCTATGGCCCAATTTTGGGTTGGTCGGGCATGGCCAGCGTCATATATGGGTTATATATGAAGAATGGTGAGGCGTGAGAACATTAAATTGGGATGGAGAAGCACCACAAAGTAAAAGAAGGGGGGGGATGTAACGGTTTTGAATGCAAATGAGATACTTACTCTTTCCCACCATACAGCGGGGCTCATGCCGACGGATTTTCCGTAATTGGGGTATAGCTTGCACCCTTCTGCGAAAGCTGGTTTCCAACTGGTCAGTATAAATTCAGAAAGCCTTGTGCGAATTTTATCTGATCCTGGGGCAACCGATGCTCGGGGCAGAATTCTTCGACCTCCGGTGTCATCCGTGAACCTCTGAAAATTTGCACCACCCCCTGCCCGACTTACCGTGATGGTGTCGCCCAGGCTGTGGTGCTAGCATCAACATGTTATCCAAAGCTAGGTCGTAGTAGCCTTGGTGTTGGAGCAACAGCCCGTATGTACCTAGGACAGGTAGGATCGGAATTTGCAAACAAGCCCCACGGACACCGTGAAGGGAGCCAGCAAGGGCGGTAGGCTATAGAACAACGGATGATTCGCACACACCTACCTTCTTTGAAGGATGAGCTGACCTGCTTTTCCGTCAAGCCCGTCACGCCATGCTCCTCGGCCACCGCGATATACTGCCGAGGTATTGGTAAGCGCGGTTTGAAAAGCGTACCAAAAGCATCGAAAGTGACCAGAAGGTTGCGCGCATTTGGTCGGGGCATGGTGCAATGGACGATGCCCGGCGGAGGGGGTTGCGGTGAGCTGATGAAGTACTCGTATCGTGTCTGGTGTACCAGTGGGCAGAGAGGTCCGCAGCCCAGATGATGAGGTGGGAGACAGACCCACCCGCACGTGTGTACCGTACTGCACCGGTGTGCGCATTAGTGCATGTATCATAGTTGTGTAGAGTTGTAGGGTATGGCATTATACAGCCCAAGGTTAGGTTTGAGCCTTTTCAACAGTTTCTAAAGCAGGCCCTTAAAGCGTACAGTGCAGTGCGGCGGGACCGACTCCGGAACGAAATGCCAGCCAGCGGTCACAAGGTTGGAACAGTGAGAAGAAGCAGAGGCAGGGGCGGGGGTCTCTCCAATGTTCAAGATTCGGTTGCAAAACGATACGATACGAGTATGATAATTGGTTGGTGGGGTGTGAAGGGATGCTAATACATGCTACTGTACTCATTCCGTGAGAGTTCCCTATGTATGCAAAAAGTGTACGAGCACAACTGCGGTTCTCGACGCCATAAAATGCAAGCTATTCGCCGACAATTTAAAAGATCAAGCAGAGACCTCATCGGTATATCCCCTCCTACGCTCTACACAGACCCCTCCTCACTCTAACCCTTGGTTCCAACTCGGGTACCGGTTCGGTAGGCGGTTTCATCATAGATCCCTCAGACAAACACAAACACCCAGACAGTACCATAAGGAATCTCTACATTGTCAGTATTCTTCCTTGCTGCTACTCGCGGGGAACTTCACGTCCAACCTTCATCGCGTCGTTTCCTTTTTTCCACCTCTGCTTGGTTTTACCCGTTTGAGCATCGTCTGGCGTTCGCTTGTATCGCGCGTTTTCCTGCTACACCGAAGCAGGGAGGTGAGAAGACCAACATTACCGGCACTTGCTCTGCGACAGGAACGGGATACAGACACAGCGCTCCAACTCCTGAATTCAGCTACAAATTCTTTTATCGTGACATCCGGCATTATTTTTGGTTCATGTGAGCAAGCTCTCCATTCTATTTTTTTCCTCCCCTTTTCCCTTCCCCTTTTCCGATGGAGGATGAATTTTTCGTGGCTCACCACCGTACCAGTATCATAGAGTCAAAGCGTGGTCAGCCACTATTCTACTGTGCTTGTGCAAACACTCTGTCTCAAGCCTCGTTTGATTGTTTTGCTTTTTTCCCTCAGATGGACAAAAAAGGAAATTATTTAGCCACGTACGCTGTGGTCACTGAAGTCGCGTCAGCAAAGCGGAGAGCCAACTCAATGGAACACGGCCCGGCAACCACTCAATTCGCTAGAAAACCCTTAACCCTTTCCCCTCCTACCATCCCTGCAAAAGATGGCTCTCGTCCCTCTGTTCCGCTTCAGAGTTCACCAGATCCAGCGGAGGACATTGGCAAACTCACATCCTCAGAATTACCTCCTATACATTGTAAATTGTCTCCTCCGCCCTCGCAGACTGTACTCCCACCTCAGCCATCCTCACCGTGTTCCCCGCTAACCCAGTCTCCAACTGGAATGAACAATTCTCAAGCCAAGACAGCACGAAAGTCTGCACACATATCTGCCAACCGAGGAGATGGACACACGTCTTCGGGCAATGTGAGTAGAAGAACCTCTGTCCACCAGGGCCCAAAGTCTTTGATGGATGGGAATGGGTCAGCTTCGCCCGGCGAAAATAATTGTGCGAGCTCGACAAGTGAGTCGGGCATCTTGGCGCGAGGTTCGGTCTCGGCTACTAGGGTCATTGTGAGTCCTTTGTGCACATTGCAACCTATAATCTCAAGCTTACTTGTTTTACCTGATAGAACCCAACCACACAGCCCAATATTTATTCACCCTCGAAAGAATTGCATCAGAGTGCGTCATCATCAAGCCGGCAGGGCATACTCTCTCAGCATGCCCGCTCGCCATCATGGTCCCCCCCAGTACCCGTTAGTGGGGGTAATGTGGGGAGCACAAGTAAAACTGGCCGGCGGAAGATGGCAACCTTTAAAGCCGCTGCAATCGCCCGAGAACCAGGAATGAATGTGGATGGCACTGCAAAGAAGAATCCTCGGAAACATCATATCGACAAACCCGAGGAGAGAAAGGCGAAAAGGAATCGACCGGAAAGAGAGGGAATGCATAAATTTTCGTCCAATCCACTGGGCAATTCTAATCCTCGCTCAAAATCATCTCGTCCTCCTGCCAGAAGTAACCCGCCCTCTAGGCAGCCGGCCGAGAGAAATCCCTCCTTTTCAGCTCCACTAATCCCCACGGGAGTTCACCAATCCCAGCCTGGATTTTCCCAAGTGGGTCAATCATCGGGATCGCCAGCGACTCCCCCCAAAAGGTTTGTTGATGCGATTAGTATATCATCGTCTTCCCCGATGTCACCTGCGGCTTCAACTGATCATGCCGCGAACGCATCTGGAGGGAGGGCCATCATAATTTTGAGCCCTGAGAGCAGTCTTGGGGCGGGTGGGCTAGTAAGCGAACCTGGAAGCTTCGTTGAGTGCTCTATACGTGGCTCCGAGCTTGGTGGCCGCTCGCCATCCTTTGGATCTGATGAAGGTGAGCCATTTTACACATGATTGGGCTTCGCGCTTTCAATGATTCGGATAGTTTGGGCCTAGTTATAATGCCGCCCGGTTTAAGAGACCAGGTAGGTTTCGGACTAGGTTCCAGACTGCTGCTCTGTCAAGGGCATTGCCAACGGGTGATTCAGCCTTCGTGCCCTTGGGTATGTGTATCCTTCAGTGTGGCCAAACTCAGCTCTCGAAACATTTGTATGGTTGTACCCCTATGGACGCAGGCTGGGGCTGTTGGGCTGGGCAAGGGCTGTCGTGGTGCCGACAAGCAGATTGTCTCGGGCTCGGAGCAGGCCCTATTGCAGAATCGTGCTTATTATTGATGTTGAAGGGATCACGCTAACAATTTCTTCTCCCGTTGTAGGAGTGAGAGGCACAAACTGTAAATATGGAGTACGGGGGAGGGTCCCGGGAGGTACTTATTCACCGGTACCGCCGTGGTGTTAAATTTTACCCAAATATCTGACGTCCATGCTCTCTACAGAACCTATGCTCACTGATGGTCTCGAACGGAAACTCAAAGAGATTCTACCTATTGCCAACGAATTTTATGAGAAAAATCCCGAGTTAGGGGTTCGGTTCCCACGACAGCGGTTCGATGATTTTCTTAACAAAAAAGATGGTGCGCAAGCGGATGCACGATTTCAGTTTTTGAAAAAAAACCTGAGAACGTATACAAGTGATAAACGTGCTCTCAATTGGGAGGAGGTCCTTACTGGAGACTTTGAACCCAATGACTACCAATGGGCTTTGACGGACCATCTTGAGGTTTGGGGACTACACCCTCCGACGGTGGCTATTGGAAAGCGGCCTGAAGAAGGATCCCCCGAGTTTCCTAAAGAAAAGAGTCCCCGTGAAGACCTAGATTCCAGAACCGAAGCATCTCTAGAGACCGGGGAAATGAATGCATCGGGAATGAGCCCGAAAGACGAGCCGATCCCAGGCCAGACTGGGGTGCAGAGGGTGGATTTGTGCCAGCAACCTGAAGCCCTGCCGCTGCCCGCGGTAGGGCTAATGCCCTTCTCTCCCGTGGGTCCCATTAGGCGCTGGCCACCCGAAAATTTGACGCGTACTCCAACAGAAACCCCTCGCCCCGTTTCCCCTTCGCCCCAGGAGACTCCAAAGGATGCTGGCAAACAAATCTCTCGGTTGGAGCTTCGAGATAGTTGCATAGGGGATCAATCCAGTTCGGCAACCTCAACCACCCCTCCAACTTCTCAACCCTTCGGGCATTCTGCAAGGGCAGGGCGCAAGAAGCTCACACGCCCTTTGCCATCGGAGTTCGCTGGTGAGAGTCAGTCTGTGGTAGAAGCTCGATCCAGGGTTCTCTCCAATGGTTCAAGGCAGTCCAAGAATCCAGTTTTCCAGAGAATAAGTGGCCTTCGTGCTCGCGAGCATTCGATCTGGCGAGAACTTAGCGATGTCGCGAAGAAAGTTAAAGAGAAGGATATTGAATTTGAAAAGATGATTGAAAATGCAAAAGTCCCCATCGGTGACGAAATGGACCCTGATCTAGACTCCGGCCTAGAAGCCGATAGCGTCATTCCTCTCGAGAATGAGAGCCAGAAGGTATCGCCAGACTGGGAGGCCCTATGGAATATCCACACGGATCAGCGTTGCTTCCACGAAAAAATGAAGCAACAGGAAATGCGACTTGTGAGGGAAGGGAGCATCATAAACGTGGAGATAAAGGAACTTCAGAAGCGTACTGGTGAACAGGCAGCAATGGTGAATCGGGTGGCGCATCACTCACCTCAGGGCACTGAATCAGTCATCGGAGACGACGATTCGACCCTCCAAACTAAATCTTCCTCAGCGACGAGGTCTTTCGATGATTTGCGAGATGCTCCAACTTTCGGAGGCCACAGATCGATCTTCGGGATCCCGATGGGCGACTCCCTCGTTGAAGGGCTTAAACTGTGGTCTGGACAATCTGACACCCTAGCCCCTGTTGTTACAAGTAGCGTCGCTGCCGAGGCTTCTGAGGCGGCTAGGGCCAAGAAAAGGACTAGAAGGAGGAGGATGGGGTGGTAATGTGTATACATTTTTCTTGTGTAAATATTCTAATCAGGGGGTTGCATTGTATTCGCTAGTTGTCAGCGGAGTCTCTATCTTCATCCCGTGTTTTTGTCTTTATTTTTCTCGTCCGGTATTTTTCCTCAGATTCGCCGTCATAGCACTACAATTGATACTACTCTTCGTTAGCGCTCATGACTATACCCTTCTCTTTTATATACTGTTGCGTTGGATTTCACCTTCTTGGTTTCTTTCATATATTTTTTCTCTTCTCCCTTTCCAGATTCCAATTTGAGCGGGAGAAGATAGTTTTTTTTATTGGCGTTGCGTTTCGGCAAGTTATTCAGGGAGACATTTATTACGACAATTTGAGATGCATATGCGGGGCGAAAAGTTTAGGCCCTTCCGATCTCTTGACGCCGGGGATTCGTGACTTGTTCGTGACTAGAACCACATACTCCCTTCTCCCGCCATCGTACCTGGATGGTAAGTCAGTACAAGGAAGTTTCTTGGGCCGAATGGTAAAGGTGGACTACACCGACTAGCTACTTATTGCAACCAGGTAATCCCAACTGGCTTGCAGCGAGATTTCTGGGCATCCGCCTTTGGTCACCACTCCCAGCTATGCTGGAATAACCATGAGGGCACAGGTACTAATCGAGCGACCCGTGAAGGGGGTCAAAGCAGTCGTTTGGCTTCCGGCTTCGCTATTACCATAGCGCCGCCCTTGTTGTCCCCTCTACAAGTACGGTACGGTAATCCTCTTCTTCCCCAATAAGCTGTTAAGATGGCAAAAAGATTGCAACTTACCCCAGTACAGGAATAGATTTACCAGCCTATCCCGCAGTAGTATGACTCAATCCGTCGAGGGTGTGGGCTCGCGAATCCCATCTCAACTCTTGTACCGTGATGCAGCTCAGGCTTTTTTTCTTCCCTCCTTGCTTTCTTCCTTTCTTCCTATCTCTCCCCCCCCTTTTTGGAGTGGGCGAAATTAATGCAATCCTCTCCCAAGGCTAGAACCTCGACCTAAAACTATAAATTGCTTATTCCGCTTTAGGGTCTCGTAGTTTCAAAGAAATGTGGGCTGGGAGTTATATGTGAGGTCGTTGCCGGAGCGTAGGGTTGTATTTCTTTTGTGCCCTGATTGAGTGAGCCCAAGGGGCTGCAGCACCAGCAGGGCATATTCTCCCGCTGCAAGTAACGGTAGAGGCGATCAACCCTTTCTACATCCCCTTTTGTCTAACTCTCTAAGCTCGCAAAGTGGCCTCTATTCGGGCGGGGTGCTATTGTGAGGGGGCTGAACGCGGAGAAAGGGTGCAACAGAGTCCGCTGCCTTGGCCAGACAAAGGCAAAAGTGCTCTGCTAGGGGCATTTAGCCTCTTGACGGTATTCCATTCTCATGCCCACCACCAAAGGCCCGTCATTGGGTTACCGGACGAGAATTCCATCACTGGGCTCTCCCTATGATTTGAACGAGGATTTCCGGTTTGGTATAAGACCGTGCTAGCTTAATCTGTGGAGAGAGGGATATTTCAGCACGAGTTGTAGTTATTACCCAGAATGGCTTAGTGCCTTTTAAGTAAACTGTTCCAGATAACAATTTACAACTTCGCACTCACTAGGGACAGTTTGTGCTAGTTTTTTGGCGTGCGATCCCATGGCCGGACTTTTGACCGCTTCCCCACAGATAAACTGCAAATGATGGAAGAAGGTAACAGAAGAGTACCAGTCACGTGCCAGGATAGGGAGCATTAGCACACATAAAAATTGAGTTTTTGGCATTGGAAGTGATATTTTTATGAGAACTTGTCCTGCAGCTTTCCACTCGACTTCACTAGCTTTGGGGAGATCTAACTATCATTCCTTAACCGCTAGCTGTTCCAAGTAGAATCGCAACTCGAAAATTCACCAGTTAGGGAGAGCTGCTGTGAGGAATCATCTCTTCCTGCAGTTGCAGACAGGGGCCCGTTTGATGAGGAATTTCAAAAAGGTATCTAGGTGATCTCCAGATATATGGCGGTTCGCAGGTTCGCAATATTTGTACAGGGATCATACAATTACCGTGAATTCGGCCTCGAATTTCTATTATTTATTTTTTCCTCTCCTCTCCTCTCATTTCCTTTAGTGTCTACCAGTGTTCCCAACGGGCCAGGTAGGCCAGGCTGAACCGAAGCCGGGCCCGGCCTGCCACAACTATGGGAGATTTAGCCCGGCCGGAGCCCGCAGGCTTTGAAAAGCCTGAGCCTGGCCTGGCCTGGCCGGGCCCAGCTATAGGCCATATAGGCCAAGTACCTGCCACCTGATAGGCTGGCCCGGCCTATATGGCCCAGCCTATGGTCTAGCCAAGCTGCACCTAGCCTATGAATACGGGCCTACAACCCCCTCAGATCCTTGGTTTCCGCTCGGCTCATCTCCCATTCCACTAAACCAGTCCGAGTTACTCCCGTGAGAACTGTAAGTTACATAGTCCCTACGCAAATTCCACGCACTGGTGTTAACAGAATAGAACGAGTATCAGTAAGATCACTAATATTATTAGGCACTGATCCTACGTGCGAGTAGTAATATGGATTTGCTCGTGGTTGATGAAAACCCCCGAGGTCTAATAGGACTCGGTCAACCATAGCGGGCACATTCACTGATGGATTCCTGCCGAAGAAATTGAATCGGAAGGAAGGATCATGAGATAGGACTGCGTTGGAGAATCTGGAGGTAGATTTCCTGAACTTCTTTGAGCTGGTTGTGGATTGGTAATCGCGTAGTTATCATACTTCAACCGACAAGTGAGGATATAGATAAAATAATAAACCACAATGAAAGTTGTAAGGAATCGAGCCACTCTTAAAACAATCAGCTCTAAAAATCCCACGTGCAGGCCTGTAGGCTCCTACCAGGCCTGATAGGCTTCGGCAGGCCGGTTGAGTTCGGCCTATATCCGCCTAGGCTCATCGTCAGAGCGGCCTGCCTTGGCCCAGCCTACGGCCTATCGGCCGGTCTATCACTGGCCTAGCCCGTTGGGAACACTGGTGTCTACTGCCCTGTAAACTGCAGTAGGGGTTGGAAGAGATATGATACCGGCCGGGGCTGACATTCCTAGATATATCGCAAGCTCGCCCACTTCCATGCAAAATCAAGTCTGGCATCGAGTCTCCAGGGCCCCGAGCAACGGTCGGCGATTCCCGGGCTACGACAGCAGACAGCGAAAGGGAAGTAGTAAAAAGAATGTAAACTCGAAAACCCGTGACTCAGGAACAACTGCTGTCCTGAGAATCACAATACTCGAAGCTATCTAGCAAGAACTGGGAACGATGGGCATTCCTGGTGGGGGTCCACGTTGCTCCACGGTTTCCTCACGCCGGTGATAAGTTGAGCTTCTGATGCATTGTATAGTACTGTACAGTGCAGTGCAGATCCCTTCGTTTGGGAAGTTGAAAAGAATATTTAGCGGAAAGGGAGGGAAGGAGGGAAGGAGGGAAGGTCTAGTGAACCCTCTGCCATTCCCTGCCCCAGCTACCACACTGTACTCGAGTATACCCTTAGTCTATCCGAGCAGCCATAAGTTGGTGGCCAGCGAGCCAATTACACCCCTTCATTTCACTTACCTTCACGCCCGGGCACTATCTAGTATTACCCGGGTCCGGCACTACTTGAAAGTACCTAGACTAAGGGACCCTGGAAACCGGTGATTGTATATGCTAATAATGATATTGAGGATACTACAATGCGGTTCCAGGGCATTTCACTCTCTTCAAACGGGGGGACTCGTAATAATTTGCTCCCAAGGTTAAGATCTCCCTTTGGAACCGACTTCCTATACATCATCAATTACGGAATTCCTCAATCTACTGCGCCTTTTTCCCTCGCAACACCATCCCCTGTCCTATCCCCTCTCCCTGTATGTGCAAAAGCTGGAGTACCTAAAAGAAACCCCCTGTTGTTCCTGGCATCCCCTGCCTTCGCTGGGAGCCCACTCGGGTGAAAACAGACCTGCATGAGGGGTTTTATTTCACTGCTTAGCTTACACCCTCTCCGGGTGGAGACGATGAGGGGAAATTCTACCGGAAATTGGTGGGGCCGAGTCGGTGGCATGATGAGAACAGGTACCGCAGTGTGTAGAGAGTTTCAAAAAATGCATAGGGGGAATACCGGTACCTGAAGGCGGTGGAATTCCTGAGCCACAAACCTGGGCACCCCGTTGAAGTGGGTCGAGGATGGGTATTCGGAGAATATAAGGATTCTAGCAGCTACTTGGCTCTCCTTCCACAAGTCCCTAATCTCTCAGAAGAGACGCAAGGGCACGAGATTCTGGATAATAGACTAGTAGCGATTGGACTCCTATCCCCACTCTTCCTAGACCGCTCGTGGTGAATTTCGGTAACGCTTTCGAAACCGCCACGGTCGTAAGTGTTAGGAAGATTACAGTTCATCGTGTCCTGATTTGTACACTTGTTCTTCAATGGCTCGCCTATAAGTTAGTCTACAACCTGATGTATCATCCATCCAAGCGCCGAGAAACACCCTACTAACGCGATTTATGCGGAAGCGGCTCACAACCGGGATGGAGCTCACCCATGGGAACAAGTGGAAAATCAAACATATCTTTGATGATCTCTATGAATAATTGTGAGAGCATCTTGAAATTTTATAGGTAAGTGCTTTGGAATATGGAGAATTGGAATATGTAAATTTTATTTCATGATTATGAACTATTCCTCTTGTACAGAGTTTTTAAGATTGTTTCTCCAAAACAAAATTGCTAAGGGCTCCCAAAATATAAAATTGAAAAAAACATATTGGAAATTTCTTCACAACTGAATCGAGAGATTGAATAAGCTTTACAAGCCCATGGTTAATAGTTCTTCAGTCTGTTTATTGACAATTTATAATATGGTCGTACTTGATAGGAAGTAATAGAAAGTAAGTAAACTATATACAAATTTAACTTATTTGACAATAGGATAACTTACTGTTATAATAACCTACAACTTTAAATTTTTACATCATTGTTTATAGCAGTTAGTTGAATAAGTATACTCAATTTAGAGTTCAAACTAGTTTTGCATATTCTGTATCTTTATTATTAAAACAAGATATAAATTATATATAAATACTTATAGAATTATAAGATTATAAAAATAAACTCTCTAAACTATCTAAAACCTTACTAATCATTTTTGCTAGGATCTGCTAAGTATATTACATAATTTATATCTATATTTACTCAGAATAAGTTGATTATATTTATTATTATAAAAGTTATTAATTATAATTGATATAAGAATAGAATATAAAAAACTTCTCTGTACAATTTTAAAATCTATATAATTATATAAATAGTTATTATAAATTAGATTGCAAGAGGTTATAGTTATAGGTTATTATAGTAATAAGTTATCCTATTGTCAAATATACTAAATTTGTATGTAGTTTACTTATTTTCTATATTATATATAGAAGCATAATTGATATAGTACATGCCAGTGACTAAATATATGAGATCATATATTTGACTTCAGTTCCTGCCATATGATACCATTAATTATTATAACAATAAGATATTATTATATGAAACAATAAAATATTTATATAATCCTTCCTGCAGAGATACAAGAAATGTGTTGACCAAGGGATTTCTATCAAGTAATATAGAAGAAACTCTACTCTATAAGATAAGACTGAGCTGGTGGTAATTAATTAGTTATTTATGGTACTATAATCTCTATAGGTGTATATGCTATTTCTCTTCTAAGAATAAGTAGAATATATAGGCTCCATATAGCTGGCATAAACAAGGATCATCTGGAGTTTTATTTATGTTTAATTAAAGATAATAATAAACTACACAATGGTCAGAGGAATTGTCTCTATCATGAAGTCTAAATCTTATATATAAGAACATAATAATAAGTCCTTTAACTGAGCTAATTACTCTACCAAGAATGTGAGTAGGATAGTTGGCTTTCTAGATTAAACAGAGTTTGTACTCCTAAGATACTAAATTGTTAGTATGGCAGATACTTAGTTAGTACTACTAAGGGATTAGATATAGCTCATGACCATTCAGACATGAAATATAACTGTTAAGGTGCCTTCTTAGCTTTCAGAAATCATCAGCAACCAGAGAAGAGATATTATTAAGACTATTGGACCTTATACTAGTACACACTTATGCATTCTTAGAGTTACCTACCTCCTAACATTCTATAAGTTCTTATAAGATATGATATTATAATATAACAAATTGATGATAAATATACTGGACAACCATTGACCATGGACTTATAAGATTGATACAATCTTTTAATCCACTTATAGGAGTACTTCCTATCTGTTTTTCCAATTTTATATCCTGGAAATCTTTAGTAGTTTTGATTTAGAAAAACAATCTTAAAAACTCTGTACAAGAGGAACAGTTTATAATGATGAAATAAAATTTACATATTCCAATTCTCCATATTCCAAAGCACTTATCTATAAAATCTCAAGGTGCCCTCACAATTATTCATAGAGATAGTCAAAGATATGTTTGATTTTCCACTGGTTGTGACGCTTAGTCACAACCTTGGCACAAGTACTTTGAAGTTTGCTCAGTGTCATTCCAAGTAGTGGGAACCTTGGTACGGATAGTGCAGTGATGACAAGAAAGTTGTGGGACACTAGTGTAAATACCTACTTACTACAGGTTTACAAATGAGTGTGGTTTTGTTGAAACCTACACATGGGCTTTTTCGGTTGTTACACAGAAAACAGGTTTGAAGGGTGGCAACCAGAGAAAATCAATCTTGAGATAAATGCTTTTTTCTTTTTCTCTCTAGTAGAATCACTTCTCTTGTATAATAAAGTTTAAAAATAAAGTAATTCTGTTAAAATATTATTTACTATGTGAAGTATATATCTATGCTTTAAAATCTACAAAAATATATTATTTTCATAGTTTTCCTACTATGTTTATTCTTAGATCCTAAAGGCCTTTCAAATTTTTCTTGTTTTTGGCAATCCCTCGTCAAGCAGTGGAGTCTTTCTTAGCTACTTAACTATTTGGCCCACTTGTGACTATTCCTCCAAACTTGAAGCATGAATGATTTTGATGTGGATTTATGATGTCCTACATGCAACATGATTCAACAAAAAAAAACATCTTTACTTTAACTATTCTTAACATCACACCTGTATGACCTAGTGATTTGGAATCAGGTTCTACAGATAGCCAGAAAGCTCTAGTATTTTTCCATAAAAAAAAAATAATTTTGAAATATTTTACATTTTTGTATATAACACAGGCTACAGAGGTCGTTAGAAGCTCAAATATATTTTCTGAGCTATTAGAACTATGCTCTAGAGAACGACCTATATGGCTATACTAAAATAAATATTTTGGTATTGAAGGTCAATGTGTAGGCTTCTAAAAAACCACACTCAAATGTCTCCAATGTTTGACCATTTGCTAAACTAAACCCCTTCCAAAGCTAGTTCTTTGCTCAACCTTGCAATATGAACCACCTTGAAAATAAAGCTACTTCAAACCACTCTGCTTCTGTGGCTTCATGTTTTTCATTCTTGCTTTAGGTTGGCATTATGGATTCCCATAGGAGTTGGGCAATGAAACCGGTTGCAACGACACCATAATACTCTTCTAACTCTCCTATGATTTTCCTTGGCACTTTACTAAGTTTATTCCGCTAGTGTCCCACGACTTTCTTGTCGCCGCTGTACTCGAGTACTCGTGCAGCCGGGTAATGTTTTCGCGTAGGCCCAATTAAACCCAACTCAACCCTTACCGAAAGTACGGTCCTCGCGCTGAGCCCCTGTTCAACGGTTACACCGCCTCTCCCTCGATAAAATCATGTTACGCCGGCTCATTGCCTCCCAATACCGCAAATCCAAGAGAGCGGTTCTTGGGGATGTTTCGATTTACGAGTGGTAAAATGGGAGTCGCCGGTTGCTAGGTCTCCCCGACCGGAGCGATTGCTAGGCACCCGCTTGGGGGCTCCGCATTGGTAATAAGCCTTGGGTCGCAAAACAGAAACAGCCAACCAGCGGACAGCGATTACTGTGCCCTTTTACTCCACTCCATCACCCCTCAAATATCATACCCTCCCGTAAGGCCCCCATTCCCTCTCCCTCCCATTTACACGTAATGACAACCGCGATCAAAAATATCTTCTCCGGAAAAGACACCTCGTCTGCTCCCCATAAAACCGGTTCTTTCAGAGTGATGCCAAGAGCTACCCCCCCAAAACCGGTGAATAGTCCACGGATCTTGATCGTTGGAGCTGGATCACGAGGGCATGCTTATGCCAGGTCTATCACTGCGGCTACGAGTGGAACCATCGTTGGCGTGGCAGAGCCGGACGAGTATAAACGCAGGAGCTTGGTTCGGGAGTATAGCATCCCTATTGAATTGGCGTTCACTTCGTGGACAGAGCTGGTGGGAGAGCACAAGGGGCTGGTTATGAGTCGAGTGGATGGTGTGTGCGTTTGCACGCTCGATGAGACTCATGAGGAGGTTTTCCCCCTGCCCTTTCCCTTCTTCTCTCCTTCAGGGGCGGGGAGAGAGAGCCGCAAATATGGTGACTAACTGGTGCAGATTGTGCTCGCAATCCGGCCGCTGAACTTGCATATCTTGTGCGAGAAGCCGCTTAGTACCACGCTCGAGTCATGTGTCCGTATGGCCAGCACCATTTCTGATCCCGACCTACCGCCGATTTTGTTAGCAATTGGGCATGTGCTACGGTATTCGCCGCACAACATGCTTATGAAGAAGCTTGTTTGTGAGGATAAGCTCCTTGGGGAGATAGTTAACGTTAACCATACTGAACCGGTGGGGTGGTACCATTTTGCGCATAGTTATGTTAGGTATTATTACCCGTGTCTCTGCTCGCCTTCGGCTGACCTCTGCAGAGGCAATTGGCGTCGAAAGGAAACTGCTGCTCCCTCACTACTAACAAAATGCTGTCACGACATTGATTTACTTCTCTGGCTTCTGTGTTCTCCTGCGGCTACTGCTACTCCTCACCTGCCATCTACCGTATCGTCCTCCGGCTCGCTGGTCCATTTCCGACGTACCCGGAAACCTGTGAAAGCCGGTAACGCAACCAACTGTCTCTCTTGTCCGGCTGAACCGGACTGCGTATTCTCGGCGAGAAAGATCTACGTGGAGAAGAACCTCAAGAAAATGAACATGGGCTGGCCTGTGAAGATCGTGGTCCCAGATATCGAGGAAGCGACCAGCATGGAGGCAGCCGAGGCCATGCTAACACAAAAGCTGGGAGAAGATTACGGGAGCGAAGGCACCATGGTTGACGGCGAGCAGAAGAGCTACTACGGTAGATGCGTATATGAAACTGATAACAATGTCCTGGACAACCAAGTTGTCACCATTTCCTGGGACGATGACAGTGCCTCCATCTCGCCCTCTGGCGCCCCAGAAGAGGGTCGTGGAGCAAAAACAGCTACCCTGACTATGGTAGCATTCTCGGAGAAGATCTGCGAGCGCTTCACTAGGATATACGGAACTAAAGGCGAGCTTGAAGCCGACAGTTGTCAAATCAAAATATACGATTTTGAGACCGGGGTGAAGAAGACCTGGGTGCCTAGCATGGATATGCTGAGCGGCCACGGTGGCGGTGACAATGGGCTCGCGGGAGCGTTTGTGGATGCTATTGACAAAGTGAAGAATAAAGGGTGGACAGTGGATAAGGCGCAGAAAGAGATTATCGGTGTTACTGCTGAGGAGGTTTTGAGGAGCCATGCTGCGGTGTTCTGGGCCGAGGAGGCGAGAGTTAATAGACAGATTTTGGAGTGGGGGCAGTGGTGGGCTCAGAACGTTCGATCCTAGTTAGAGAAGGGATTGGTGTTCTCAGCATGTGAGGGGTTGCACCTCATAGCTACTGCACATATTGACTTTATGAAATGAGAATACCGAAAAAGGTTCACCCTTGGCGGCATATTGAAGCTTACCGACTGGCAAGTGATGTGTGTTACCACCCCCGCCCCATTTGCTCGCACGATGGAGTCCCCAAATATCAAACAAGCGACGAGAGCAGTCGGGAACGCCAGGCAAGCTAAGGGCGAAACCCTGCTTTACCACCCCTTAGCCTCAAATCAATACTATGATACCAAAGGAAATTGTGCTCCCCAGTGTAGCAACAACACTCCTCTCCGACGTCAATACCAATTAGCCGCGATCCCTATATTCATGAGTAGCCCCCAACGGGTTTCCACTAAAAATACCCGCTTCGGTTACCTACCATCACCCTGGGGTTCCGATATTTAGAATTCTAAAAGTATAATGAGACGCCTATTAGCTACAGAGATGACGGCGGGCAGAAATCTCATTTGCGGACAAGTTGGGGACCATCACGCAGAGCCATCTGCACCCCGAGCACTTCCTACTCCAACACACTGGCTAGCATCACGCCCCGAATTACGCTTCAACATTCGCGATTCTGTGTATTTGAAAGCGAGTGATTTCCTATGATCTGCAGGGAGTGAAGGAATGCCTATTTGGGACCCTCCTGACAGTCGGGAAGCCGCGCGACGTGTTTCTCGATTCCAGCACGAACCAACAACGACTTGGGTAGGGAAGAAACGGGGGAATTAGGTTGCGATGGGAGATTGTGAGAAGAAAGGAAATCTAAATATTTCCTCTGGGTGGTCCCCAGCATCCCTCGCCCCCCGTCAGGGGTGTCTAAATCGCTTGCTGCTCATGGTGCCCACATTGGTATTCCCGCCGGCCCTAGATAGGGTCCCCACTCTAACACCTATCAACATTCCAGCATATCGGCAGGGTGCAACTTCCCATCCGCTGTCCCTTACCGGGTTTAGAACGGCTCTTCCATCTCCCTGTCCTGTTTACGGCATCGCTGTCAGCAGGTGTGGATTTGGCGTGTCCGCTATCGGCGCTGTAATGGGCGGCGGCGGCGGTGGTGTGCGCTTGCTAGGCGTGCTGGCGCATGTTATTCGAGGCTGATTTGGAGGAACCGATGAAATCTGGTGGTAATGCTTCTGGATATTTCGTGCGCGAAGACTGCCAAATTGAGAGCTTTGGGAAGTCTGTGTTGTGAAGGAAAGGGGAGAGGGTTGCGCGGAGCTAAATGGGTATGGCCACGGTTTGGACGGAAGTTGTGATATCTCGCGCTAGACTTGTGGGGTGCGCATGGTATGATAGTAGGTCGGTAAGGACTGGGATTGCTATTGCTGCTTGCTGGGGACGTGCGCTGGGGCTTTGTGGGTTGATATTCTAGAGGTCTAGGGTGGCGGTGATGATGTAAAGTTGAGAGGTGGGGCTTGTGTGATGGGAGAGTATTTAACTGAGGGGATTCTTGGGGCAGTTGCAGGCCTTCCAATGGGCCGGGGCTTCACTTGGCCAACCCAGGCTCTCCCATGGTTGGCCTGGGTCAGGGGGGTTAAAACTGGGCTACCCAGCTAACTCCATTGAGCAGTCAAGCCTGGCCGTGCTTTCCTGAGGAATTCCTATCAACATCATTTGCGTCACAATCTGGGCCTACTACACTACATTGACCAACATCGGGGGGATGGTGGAAAAATGGGTAGATCAAGGTTGCCTATATGAACCTTTGGTCAGTACCATTTAATATAGCGGAATCCAAGACGAACCTCGCAAGTTCAAGCAGTCCCCATCGCTCTTATATTCCAGGTGCTTGCGAAATTCCCTCTTTAGGAATGCTTCAGCCCCACCGCTCTGAAATCCGAGCCTCTGGGGACCGGCGGGACCAAGACAAAAAACACACTATGCCGGCTTCCTTTACTTATAGAAAGTTTGTCTCCACGTTTGGTGGAGCGTTGCTAAATACACAAGACCATCGGGTAGCATTTTACTGCCTCTTCCTCACATGAATGCTGTTCTTCTCGTCTACCTCCCCAGTGATGAGTTTAGTTTAACTTTCATTTTCATTTTTCATTACGGGCCCCAAACTGCACTCGAGTGTTTTCTCAGCTAAACCAGCAAAGACACCACAACCCCGCTGCCGGTATCCGGTGCGATTTTTATTTCATTTGTTGGATCCTCGGTTTTACTCGCAACTAGTCTACAATACCGGTACGTGTATGTACTGGAAAATTTACCGCATGGGATACGCTTCTGGGTGCGGCATGGCCGGTGCTCGAAGCGAGCATCATTAGTGCTTGTCTTGCACTGCCTCCGGTTGAATACACCGTACTTCGTGCTACACATACCGGCACAGTGCAAGCACCGGCACCCGAGTACACCAGGTAACCACGATTGCGGAAAAGCATGCACTCACCCCTGACCCTGTTTTCGTCCTCGAGCGGCCGCGCAGAGTGAATTTACTTAAAACAGAAAACTACTACAAACGGGGAAGTTTTCGTGATACCGGAACGAAAGCCGGTTCCTCCATTCTCTGTCTTTTTTTTCTTACTGCCACTTTCGCTGTATTTCGGCAACCAGACTACCCATAGTTACCTGGCTAACAAGTCTAGTGGATGTAGACTAGCTACAATATCATGCACAACTGCGCCGGGTCAGGAAGGAGGAATACGGAAGGATTCAGGAATTGAGCCGACATATTGATGCGGGCGGTGACAATAGGAGAACTCACGCTCAGAAAGGAGACCGGAATCGTAGTACCATTTTACAGCGTAGGTGCAGTGCTTGCTGTACAGTACCGTACTCCTGTTTGCGGCGCACTTTGCATGTAGTAACGCTGATCCTGCCCTGCTAACGTAAAAAATAATAAAAGGTATCGGCAGAGGGAACAACACCGTCCCTCAGCTCACAACTGAGACCAAAAATAATAATAATACCACCGACTTATCATTCTAGGAGAGGCAAAGCCAAGATCCTAATTTGAGGTCCGATGATTCCAGTTTTTAGGGTACCGTATTAACTCATTCAATTGGACATCACGCTGGGATTTTGGAGTTGCCTCTCCCAGTGAGATCGCGCGTGGTTTTTCCTTTCCTTTGTCTCAGCTGGGGGCTGAATGGCAGCTATTTTTCACTGTGTTTCCCCCCTAATCCACAGGAGGAGATTCTGGATGTCTTAGCGTGATGTCCAATTGAGTGAGTTAATACGGTGCCGTACTCTGGAACCCGCTGCTATTGACTTTTGACACGAGTTGGTCCAGAGGCGCCCCCGATTCTGCTATAGTGTGGGTGAAGAAACATAATATCACTCAGAAACGAGTGCAGAGAGTATTCAGCAAGCTTTCTAGCCACTTTAAGCCTAACCTCCATCTCACAATATCCACTCGGCCAGTAACATTACCATGTATCGACTAATTGCCCGGGTTCTATCCCCTGCAGTGTTGATTGTGCCAAATTTCCCTCCACTCCACGACTCTAAGAATAAGTTAGCCACACTAACGAATTTCCTTTATTAGCAGAATCAACCTCGCGGATGGGTAATGATATCATGTGACTCTTAATGTGGTTAGCACATAATATCGACAAATCATCAAACCCTCTTCTCTGCCAATAATGATCTTAGACCAAACACACAAACTTTAGAGGACAACAGAATATTTAGCCCATGACAGGCGACAAGCAAGTTCCATGATGCCACCAATTCCCTGGACTTATAAAAACTCAAAAGAAGTTTTCGTGATAGGCTCACCTGGTTGGGTTTGCGGGAGGAGGTTTGTAACTTCATATCAATATATTTTGATATCGCTCACTTTTTCCACAATGGCCCGAAGCGGATTGACACTAGTTTGAATTCTAGCGCAATGTAGGGAAATTTGGCATTATCAGGACCGCAGGGGATAGCGCATAGGGTGTTCACGCATCCCACTTCCCCATTCACTGCCTGTAGACTGGAAACGTACTTGTTACAGGCCATAAGTACCGGAAAACAGGGGGGGGTATCTGCTGTTGGTGTCATGGGGGATGACAGGGGAGTTAACAGGGGGGCAGGGCATGCCAAGAGGTGTATTATAAATCAGTAAAAAACTATTGTAAGATAAAGACAATAGCGATTTAAAGTAAATAAATTATAGCTAGAAATAGAGAATAAAAAATTAAAAATTAAAAATAATACAGAGAGAGGGTACAGAGTCAAATCTACTACTGGGTACGACCACCATTGGCATTGAGAACAGCTTGGATCTGTTCAGGCATGCTGTCGATAAAGTGAAGTAGCTCAGCAGAGCTAATCCGTTCCCATTCTTCCCATACAGCAGTAACCATTTGTTCTTTGCCATGAACTCATAGACGTCAGGCCTTTATTTTCCTTTAAGAATATGCCAGACATTCTCAATTGGATTTAGGTGTGGGGAAGAAGGGGGCCAAACAAGCTTAGGCATTGCATAACCCTCTTGCAATGCCCAAGTATATTGAGCCCAATGGGCAGATGCACCATCTTCCATCAACCAGAGCTGTTGGCCAGTTTTGGTACTATCCTGACACCAGAAAGGCCGAAGAACCAGTGTCAATACAGGTACAATAACTTTGAGCAGTTATTGTGCCCCAATCATCCCTTTCCGACAGTATGAGAGATGCCTTTGTGCCACCTATGATCCTCCCCATATCATCATAGGATCTCTCTGCTTGAAGGTCAGAGAGATGCAGGCTTCTGCATACTCTTCTCCGGCACAGCAGGTTGTCCAGACAGTACCTCGTGGACCTGAGAGCCATACATAGCACTCATCTGTCCAAATAACCCACCGCCAATCCTCCACACTCTAGTCCTGGTGAGTTTGGGCAAAGTGAAGCCTCTTTTCCTTCTGAATTGGCTATAGGAGAGGTTTCTTTCGTGCCTTTTGACGATTGTAGCCCTCGAGGACAAACACTTTCCGCAGTGTTTTCTCGCCTGCTGCAACACTACAGAGATCTGCAATGTCTCTAAATGGGTGTTGTTATGCGAAAAATGTACTGTTGCATTTTAAAGAGTGTAGAGTTATTGAGGTTTAAAGTTTGCATAGCAACCAAGTCAATCTTGAGAAAAAGAAGAAAAATGATTTAATCTCTAAATTTTATAATAACAGTACAACTAATGGTTGAATTTCTCTTAAACTAGATTCAAAAAACTTAGAATTTATGGTAGTACAAACCTATGATAAAAAAATAAGGAATATTATAATTAAAAATTATCATTAAAAATTACATCTTTGTAGACAAGTAATACACTTAGTATCTCTCTAGTTGACAAGTCTCAATTGCCTTTCCTCTTCTTATTCATGGAGCCTGGAGGGCGTCCCCGACCACGTCGCTTTATTGATCCAGTATCTGATATTGTAGTCTTTAGACTACATGTGGCATGCTGATGATCTGTGTTCTGGTATATCTCCAGTTCTCCACTAGCTTCCTGTACAACTAATCATTGATTAGTGAATAATTTCTCTAATTGTATAGTATAAAGTATAGCCCTTGGGGTATAAACTTACTAGTACTACTTTCTTCATTGTTTCCACTATCTGGTATTATATCAGCTTGCTGAGTTTTCGACTTCTTTGCATATTGTATACGTAAGCTTTTCTTTTCCCTAACTGTGGAGATTAGTGTTGCTGTTGGCTTTAAATAAAGCCACTGAGATTGGTATTCAAAAGGAACATATTTTGAGTACTTATGCCAGAGATCATGTCGCTTCTCCTCATTCAAACCTATATCAGGAACAGCTGGTGGTAAAATCGTTAGAAATAAGTCCACAGAGAAGTCCTTTTTACGAAGGTCAAATCTAACCCATGGTTGATCATGTAGTTTACGTGCTTCAACTATCCCTGGAGCTGCCTTAGTGAATCGGAAAAATTGGAAGTTTTGGATACCCTTCAAGGGTTTAAGATATTGAGAACAAACCTGATCCCAATTGCGAAACATGCTTGCTGGTGTATCATCAAACAGTCTTACTGCCTTAATCTTTCCAGCCTTATCTGCAGAGTCAACTAGCGAGGCATAATGTTCAGGAATCCATACCTCCGTTCTATTGGCCTTTTGCTTTACAGTTCCAAATCCTCAGTCAACACTATTACGTGTATGACCTTTAATTTGAAATCCATGTATAATAGCATCAAGATCATGGCTTAAAACTAACTAGCAAAGATACCATAACATGGTTTTGTTCTTGTTTTGCCCTCCACAGTTATCCGCCCATAGCCATATCTTAGACTTCTCATTCTGAATTGATGTTAAAAACAGATACAATAGTGATACAACTTGATTAGCCCCTTTTCCTTGCTGTCCCTCTGTATGCATTGTATGATAATGTTGTTCAGTGCCTTCATTCACAATACCTAAGACATATAACTTGAAAGGTGACCAATAGTACCACTCTGATGGCTGTTGAGGAATGCTTGGAATTTCTACTACCTGCTGAAAGTCAAAGGAATAACAACTAACCTGAGCTTGATCTTCCTTTGCCATTTTGATATCATTTTCATACTCACTTCTGCAAGCCCTGTACTCTTGGCGATGCATTTCTAACTGCTCTAGGTAATGAGCATCATTGACTTGCACACTATCACTCCCTTCAGACTGTACTTCCCCATCAGATATTTTTTCTAGATAGATACTTGACTTGAGCTTAGAGTTAGTCTTAAGTATTGCACATTCATCACAGGTATTTTTAGAGGGCTTGCGGATCTTCATAAAGCGGAAAGCCTCATGGGTTTTCCAATACTTGTAAAAGTACTCATATGAAGGAATCTGCTGCAGATTTTGATGCCTAATCTCTTTAACATACTGATCATACAGTACTTGATATGACAGATGTGAGGGGAGTAATGTGGTATGTTCTACCTCCATATACTTTACAATCTTACCATTTTTCAAACATCTCTTAAATACATGGGTTGCAATAGACTCACCTTCATCTGTCTTAATTCTCCTTAGATATTCTTCTAAACCCAGTACTATAGTCTCTGCCACATGATTGTGTGACCTTTTCCCATGATTACCTATCGGCTTTTAGTACTGGCATACGAAGAGTACGAATATGATTCAAGATTGCTGTAATTGTTCTTCTATCCATATTCCAGAACTCACAAAAGAGCTCCCAACAAACATTGCCAACAAATGGCAAGCAGTACTTCATCTTTTTTTGTTCCAACTCCTTTGGCTACAAATCTTAGCTTTATACTTTATATTGTATTTACAGAATATCACTACTTACTAATAATTGAGAAGATAAAAGGTATATTATCATCAGCTTTTTCTTCTTCCTGTCAACTGTATCATGAAATCTAAGCCATTGTTTCCACTCCTCAGTACTAGCTTTTAAAGTACAGCTTTGGGAGCAAGAACATGACTTTAGAAATTGTCTAATACGTTTATGAAAATCACCAGAATCTATACAAGTTGTCTATTAATATATCAAATTTACTTTACAACTAATAAGAAGATTTTTTATCTTACCTGAGTGTAAACTAAAATCTGTTTTCGCAAATTCTGACTCTGTATCAGTCTCTAGCTCTTCAGACTCCCAAAGGAATTCATGATCACTGTTATTCATATCAGCAATATAACTAGTACTAAAAGAAGAATCCACTTTGGGAAGAGAATTGTGTTTCATGAGTTTAGGATGAATATAGTGATATTTCTTATACTAATTGAGCTTAAAGAAAAAAATACACTTTAATTCAAGCTCTAATTGAGAAGTTCTACTTCACTATGATAACATCAGATTCTTACAAAAAAGATTGGATAATCAGATTGTTTGATATCTCCTGTTGCACTTATTATTTATACTACAGATTTATCATTGTGGTTGCAATCAAGAAATAAAAATAAAAATTACAAAACATACTATAACAATGAATTCTCCTCCTAAAACAAAGCCAGAAATATTTTCCTGATAGATCCTTATCTTCTGTATTTTTCTATGTAATAAAAAAAAAACAGATTTTTCGAAATATTCACTTTAAAGCTCTACTCTGGGCTCAATTTCTTTGATAAATATTTTTTAAGACTATCAGAGGGTACTCTACATGCTCAAGAAGTTGCATATGAAGTGAAGTATATT